CTAATAAAAGATATCATCTCTGAACCAAGAGTTCTAGAGTTTTACATTTCTTTTTTTCTCAGACCAACACAGCTACCAAATACTTCCCTGTAAATAACTCTTGGTACTTTAAGAGGGATGGCAAAGCCCTTGAAATTATGAAAAATGTTATTGTGGGAAGTGACATTATTGGATGGACCCATAGAACAGAGAAGCTGCAATTAAGGACCAACACAAATATGACTTACCAGAACAAGACAATATAATGTACCCATTTTTCCCTTGGGAAGAGGGTGAGAGAACAAACCTAACAGATATTAGTCAGGATGCTTAATGCACTACTGGAAGGCACTTAGAAATGACAAAGACAAGAGATGAGAAGGAGTGAGAATGAGAATAGTATCACCAGGTTATGAGATTGAGACCACTTCTGCTTTTTCGGCCTTCTTATCCCTATTTTCAGCTCTGTCTGTCTTTATTTACCATTAGTGTTGTATGTAGCTTGAAACTTATGCCTCTGAAAGCACTCATTTTGTAGTACTTAGCTCTCCATTTTCCTCTGTGGATTTCTGCAGCCATTCTGTTTTCACAGTTCAGTCCCAACTATTGCATAGGAGGTATACATGTATTCTCTTTCAGGGAGACTTTATTATTGACTTTTAATCTAAGACAACTCTTGCCCTACTGAATATGTGGTGCTTGTGTGTGACAAGTCCTTGTTTTAATTCTTGTTGGGTATCTAAAAGTGCACTACAAGGAGGCATATTAATGTTTTGTTTAAAGTAGCCTAGTATAAAGTTCCTCATATTAAATGGACTGTTCACATAGAATGAATTATACATGTTCCAAGCTGCATTTATGATCCAAAAGGCTTTAAAAATCTGTAATGCTTTGATATTAAAATGAATTGAGAGTCAATTTTAAGACTTGCTATTTTACCATCCTTTGTCTTTTAAAATCTTGTTTAAAATTTACTACTTTCTTGTAAAAATGCTTCCCAAGCTTCCAGGGGAATAGAAACCTGGAAATTAGAGCCACGTATTCATAGGAATCTTAATGTTGCTGACAACAGTGTTCAACACTCTAGGTATAAAGGGGAAAATAAAGGTGAAGGGCAAAGTGCTAAAAGTTGAAATTTTTCTTCCTGTTCCATTATTCCAGTGAGCTCAATCTCTCTGTTGGACATATCCCCACTTTCTTATTTAATAGCATTCCATTAGAGAGCTGCTGGAAGAAAATAGTAGTATCCACTCTTGAAAGCAACTTTTAGGCTTTTGGTAAGGAATTGTCTGTTATAATTTCTCCCTGTTTTGTTTGGTCCATTTACTGCTATGAGACCTGATTTGTAAGCTTGTGGGGGGGCGGTGCTTTTGTTTGCAAATCCATGAGTTGTGCTCTTGGTGCTGAAGACCACAGTTGCTATCTGAGGTTTCCCACCTGTGGTGAGTTTTTTTATCATGGTCACTTAAGCTTGTCTCTAAATTGGTTACTTTGCAGCTGAATGTGGATTAATGGTGGGGGAGAAAATTGCAGAGAAAAATGATATCAAATTTGAACAAATAAACAGACTGCTTCTAGGTTTTAAAAGATCTTGAGGTTCAGCTAAATTGCATGTTGAAAAGTGACTTAGAGGGGTGGCCTCATTTTAAATGTTGCTTACTGCCACTGCTGCTGGTTGTGTTTGCATTGTTGACTGTGGGGTTTTGGGGGTTTTTTTTACTGCATTCCTTATTACAGCCTGTAGAACTGTGGTAGTTTGCTGTTCCCATTGCACTTTTGCACTATGTCAAAGTCTTTTAAGGTCTGCTATAATTTATGCCATCTGTAATGGCCACAAGAGGCTGTGAAAGTACAGCTGTGTTCCTCTTGTCTCAGAGTGGAGTAAGAACTTCTATATTGGTTTTTCACCATTGAGGATTACCTTTGTATCAGGCTAATCCACACTGGGCTGATCAAATTTTGTAGTGCCAGGTTATTTTAGCATTCCTGACAGCTTTTCACTAGAGGATATATCCTTAAAATTCTGAGCTGATATGGATATGGAAGACCAGAGAATGAAAAAGATCTACAAATCTTAGATCCTGAATGGAGAGAGAAACATCCTACACAGCTTGGGCAACATTAGTTATATTTGAGGATGTATTGCAAGGGTGCAGGATAAACTGGCTTTTTAAAATAGACTCGCACACAACCTCTTCCCAGGTGTGAGTCTGGGAGTAGTAACCAGGACTTTGAAATTCATGGATCTATACATAGTGGGACCAGAACATACCATCTCTTGACTCCAAGCAAAATTCATTTCCTTTGGAAGCAGAAACGGCTTCTACTCTTGCCCTTACAGCCTGATTCAGCAGCTAGGCTGACTGTTCTGCATAATTAGGTACAGTTTTGAGCACTGTTTGCTGTTCTTTCCTTTTTCACAGGAAATTTAGAAAAGAAAAGAACTTTATTGTTAAAAGGCACTAGGTGAAGGGGGAAACAAATCCCTGCTGATGAATGAAAGCGCAGAACATTTTAAATCCTGAAACCTATGCTGTGGCCTTTCCTGGTAGGATGGGAATGAATGGACCTACCTGAAGGAACTCGTTCGGTTTCTTTGAGATAGATGGTTACCTGGCACCTTGGGAAACCACTGAAGTTTTACCCTTCCCTGCAGTGGGGCTTAGTGGAGCTGGTTAGGGCTGGAGGGACTAGAGGCCCTCCTGAACTTTCATCATAGCGTGTACCCCCTTCCAGCTTTACCAGCTGCTTCCATATCTCTACCAGCATACATTTTATATGTTAACCCCTTAAATGGCAATTATTATTACAATTAAATCTGTCATGACAACTTTGCCTGTGTACCCCAGTTGGGAAACCCCTGCCCTAGTCCAGCCCCCCTGCCTGAGGCAGGATCATCCCTATCCAAACCATAACCTAAATTATATAAGTCAAACCTGAAGCCTGACACAGCACGGACTGCACACCCTCGGTTGCTTGGGGGGGGGGGG